AAAGGTGACTTGGCAGCCTAGCTTTGTCCCAACTGCCTGCTCTGAAGGTGGGACCTGGATCTGGCTACTCCAATTAGCTCCAGTTTACATGCAAATTAGGTAAGATGTGCATAAAGAGCATGGCAAGCAGTGCATCAGGCTGAAAGTCATGGAAGACATCTGTATATTCTCACAGATCTTATCCAGGTATGCCAAAGCCATGCACATTTGCTATGTGGGCTGCTGTCAGGTCTCTCCTCCAAAAACTGCTGAACTTCTCTGCCTTGTGGTCTGCCTTTAGGGTGTCATCAAGCCAACATACGGGTTTAGTGCTTCCTCAAAACTGATTCCTTACTGCGGTAGCAATTCTTCCAGCTTTGTACCCTGGGGGACTGTGCAGACCTGAATGAAAGCATCTGCTTTCCTTTTGAGAAGGCGATCAATATAGATGAAGACCAAGACCCTGAAGACACCTCATTTCTTAGTTTCATTTTTATTTCATTGTGACTTTGACTCCTAAATCCTTTGAATGCTGAGGGCCCAAGTGACCTGGCTAGATAACACCCTGAGGCTACCTTAGCCTGGCATTTCCTCTAGAAAACAAAGCTCATTTAAAACAAAACCCCATTAGTCTTGGCAGGAAGCTTGAATTGTCACTGTTTCAAGGAAGCTCCATTAATTACTGCTCCCACTGCACTATGAAAGATCAAATGCTGAGGATCGTTTTTAATTGGCTATTGATTTCTTATGTTATTACCTATGGTTGTGCTGAGATGCTGTCAGATGTACTGGATGCTTTTGATTATTCTTTCTGGCAGCTGGGATTAAAAACAGCAGGCAGACATTTCCTGATCTGTAATGGACTGCCATGGTGTGCCAACAAGAATTGTCAACTGGATGAATGGTCCTGCTCTGCCTATCTTGTGCTGCTGAGCTGCAGTGCAGTTTTGAAGGCAAATACCATCAGGGACCAGGCAGGGAAAGAGCAGGAAAAGCTTCAAAGAGCACAAGGATTTACTGCTTTCAGAAGTGCACTGCTGTCAGCACCGAGGCAGGGTGAGCCAGGGAGCAGGGACTTGGGCACGGACAAAGCAGAAGTGCCCATCAGTCATTGATCCAAGGAGAGGCAGATCAGATTACTTTTGCATTGCTGGGGATAACCCCCAGCACGGCAACCTCAGGGATGTGTGATCCCAAGCAGGCAAGCACACACAAACCATACCGACACAGCCCTGCACACACAGCCTGCTAATGGCCCCCCTGGGACATGCTTCTCTCTCAGAGCCCATCTGGGGATGCCTGAGCCTACTCTGTGACATGCTCTCATTAGCTGGCAGAGTTCCTCCTTATTTAACAGGAGATGCTTTCCTGTTCTCCTGACCCCAAATGACACCTTGTTCTACAAATGTCAACTTCCCCTAATTGCACTTTGACAGAGAGAGAGGCAAACACTTCCTTCCCCCTCCAAGGACTGTCATTTAATTAACAGGCAGGTATCTCTCAGGATTTACAGTCCAGATCTGAGTTGCTACTCTCTCTACTCAGTAACTGAGGCCTGTGAAAGCTCATTCAATTTATCTGTGTGTTTCGATAACCATATTTCTGCTAATCTCTTGCTATGCCAGCTTCCTGGATTTACCTCTCATGGACCATGGAGAGAGCAGTTAATCAAATGAACAGTCCCCATCTCAGTTCTCATTCCCTTCCTGGTTCCTGATCTCAGACATCTGTGTTGTAGAAGACTTCACAGCAGAGCAATACCTATGCTGGCACCATCACCAGTTTCTAGTTTAATCCAACCCTCATATCTGTTCTACAGACATGACCAGAGATAGCACAGATGAAAGAGAGATCAGAATCAAAGACATCGAGGCTGGCTGGATATCAAGAAGCATTTAATTTGTTCCTCCTTCACAAACTAGGATCATCTCTCTGTAACCTGTTCTTGACATATGCTTCCTAACAGGTTCTTAAAAAAAATCCAGTACTGGAGGTTCCCACAAATCCCAAGCAATCTTTTCCAGTGCTTCTTGCCCTCCTGTTAGATGTCTGAGAGCAAGGGGGAGAACAGTGCTGAGAGGCCGTCTTGCACATCTTGCCCAGATGGACATAGCTTCTGGTGCTTGGGGCCATACCATCTGTCCTGCTGGTCATGAGGAACAGACTGGTTTTACTTTGGTTGTGGCTTTTGTTTTCATCATGGGTGAAGAGGTAGATAATGGTTCCTGTCCCTTCCAACTGTTTTTGTGGGTCATGCTAGGATCTAGAAAATTCCAAAGAAAACTAGTATATTACTGAAGGTTAGTGGCTGAGGAGGGTCAAATCCAGACCCCTGGATTTTGTTCCATGTATCAATAGTCTCTGAGTAAACAGACGTATTTGGAGAGTTTAGCTTGGAGATGATCTGACCATATCAGAACAAATGAGGATAACACCAGCCAAATGTTCTGTGCTGAGGGAGCTCTATGTGCAAGAAAGTACTCATGCCCTCACCTTTGACTCCACACTGGGAAGATCAATGCTGCCATGGGATTGCCCATGCAAATTGCCACCTAAATCCCTTACTGACTTGGTAAAGAGGAGATCACACAAAACAGCTGGGCAATTGCTGACTGCCTGTCTGATTTTAGTAACACCTCTGCAGAGTTGGTGACTTCTCCAACACTGAGACTCCACAGTTCCAGGGGATGTGTCCTGCTGAGCACCTCTAGTGACAGGGTATATAAGCCAGCCTCCTGGACAAGAGTCACTGGATACCCAATGGATGTGAGACATCCAAGTACAACTGAAGTGCAAAGTGGCAGGAGCTACAGAGGAGCTCTGTTTCAGCACATCTGCTCTTCAGTAAGTACCTTGTCTTTCAAACCTCTGCTCTGCTAGTGAAAGAAAAACTTGGGGGTCAAGCTGATGGTAGAAGCAACTGGAATTCATACACTTACTGTAGGACCTATGGTATCATATTCTGCTAGCTATGGCTGCCCAGCCTGTTACAAAAAAAAATGTACAGACAGCATCTTACATTAGCTGGAAAAAACAAGTGTGGTAGAACTGAGTGCACCTAATGTCCTGCCCTTTCCCCATGACTGAGCATTTCTTAGTTCCTAAATTTTTCCTACCCACCCACAGGCTAAGTAACAAAAGAGGAAAAGGGCTCTACTGCAGAGGAGGAGACACTGAATTGCACAGACAACACTCCAGTATTTCAAGATCCATTGCCACTGTAATTATCCATGTGAGGTTTTATCCTGAACTTGCAGAAGTGAACTAAAACCCAGGGGCAAATAACAAGAGGCTTTGGGCCATGCTGGCAGTCAGGAGCAAAAGTTTCAATCTCCAGAGCTGCCTTTGACCACTTGTGATCAAAAGACCCTACATGAGACAGCAAGGTTTGCAAGAAGGTTGAAGAGAGGGGGGAAAAGCTGTTCAGCAGTGAGGAACTCACTTCAAGCCTTCTAGGGAGACATTGCTGCATCCATCACAGCTGCACAAAGTTATAATGAATGAGGAATTCACCTCAGTTGTGGTGTTCATTGAATGGGTTGGATTGAAAGGGACCTTAAAGATCATCTTATTCCAACCTGCTGCCTTGGGCAGGGACACCTCCCACTACTCCAGGTTGCCCAGAGCCCTGTCCAGTGTGGCCTTGAATATTCCCAGGGGCTGGGCACCCACAACTTCTCTGGGCGACCTGCTCCTGTGCCTCACCGCCCTCACAGTAAAGCATTTCTTGCTAATATCTAACCCTACTCTCTTTCAAATTAAAGCCATGACCCGTGTCCCATCACTACATGCCCTTGCCCTAAGTCTCTCTCCAGCTCTCTTGTAGGCAGCTTTACATACTGGAAAGCTGTATCCCCAGAACCTTCTCTTCTCCAGGCTGAACAACCCCAACACTCTCAGCTTGTGTTCACAGGAAAGAATTCCCTTAGATCAGTCCCTTCCCCTGGCCTGACCTGGCCTTGCCTCTCAGTGGGAACAGAGCAGCCTTTTGGCTAGTGCTACTGCAGTCCCATGAAATCTGCAGGGCTGAGGAGAAGTCACTCAGAAAAAAGAGATGACCACATCAACAGTCACAGCTCCTCTGGAAGATCTCATTTGTCACTGAGTTTGATCTGGGCAGGGGAGGAGGAGGTGGGGAGGTGAGTGAACACACACTCTCAGCTAGTACTGAGCAGAGCTCATTTCCACTGCTGAGCTGGGAGAAGCAGCAGCAGCAACAGTTGGGATTGCAAAGAACAAAAATACACTACACAATCAAGTTTTACACTGCAGGGTGGCAGGGACAGAGGGCTGGCAGCATGCACATATGGGCTTTTCTACAGGAATGGAGACAGAGCTCACGTGCTCCAGAACATCCCCTCTTCTGGATAAGCATGGGTGGGCTCCTGGCAGCACGGGCAGACGTGCTGCACACAGCCCAAGTGAAGCCAGTGCTGGGCGGCTGCTGAGTGCCGGGTAAGAAAACCCACGTACAGACATGTTACCTCACTGCATCTGTAATGCTTCCCACTGGCTTTTGAGCTTGTGGGAAAGCCAGCACGCCTGGCACCCCAGGACTGCCAGCTGTGCAGGGAGGAACATGAGACAGGGGGATACCCCAAGTCACGACTCTGAAATGTTCCCGGGAATGGGACGTCTGCTTGTTCTCTGGCTGGAAAAAAAAAAATCAAAGCTCCCAGCTTAGGGCATTATGCTTAATAGTGACATCAGTAGAGATGGAAATAAATTTATTTCCCCTTAGAGAAAAATAAAAAAAACCCTGCCTCCCCCACTTCTTGCTCTGAAGAGACATCTGTTTTTCTCTGGTGTTTTTGCTGGTCCCTCTGCCACCCCAGCCAAGGAAACATTCTGGGGCCACATAGATGAGCTGAGAGAACAGTGAAAAACGGGTCATAAAAGCACAGAGGAAGAAAAGCTGTGGACACTCAATCCAAGCCAAACTGTATGGGCTGGCTCCCCACTCCTCTCCACAGGTGAGTGAGCGGGCGGCCGTGGCCATGCTGGGAGATACGATCACCCACCTATACAGACAATGTCCATGAAGCCGTACATTCCATAGCAGATCTGGAAGAGCAGGTCCTGGCGCTGCCACTTGGCTGAAGGACTGAAGGTCGACCAGATGAGCCACGAGATACTGGCGATGAGGAAGAGGGAACCCAGGATGGCCGCTGCTATCTGAACCTTCTCAATGACCGTCAGAGAGATGGCCTGCCACTGTACAGGGGTGGGGGACAAGAGGAAGGGAGGAAGGACAAAAGAGATTAGTTACCTGGAGCACAGCACCATTTAAAACCGTTGTAGTGGCTTTGGAGATCTCAAAGAGCACCTATGGTTTTTACCCTGTCCACACCTGGGATGGAGCATGGCAGCTGTTCAATAGTGCATGGCCTTGGGTTTCTTGACAGCACTGCCAAAGAGGCAATGGAAAGGAATCCTGCATCTCACCAGGAAAGCACAGCAACCTGAGTGAGGCAGGACAGATGAGGGCAAGACACCAAAAATAACATCACCGTGACAGTAGATCTCTGATGGCTATCACAAACCAGTTCAGTTGCTCCTTCAAATAGAGGCCAGGCAACATCCTCAGCCCAGGACATCCTCAGCCAGTACCGTAAGAATAAGTATCTCAAAGAACCAAGCTTTCTTTTGAAGGCCTCACATGAGCTGGCTCCGTGCCACTTTGTAAGATCTTACATGATCATAGCTCTAGGTAGGATCTCACAGTGGCAATGCACATCCCACAGAACTTGCTACAAACACAAGTTGTGGTCAGGACACCCTGCCTTTAGATGATGACATATTCAGGCTGTGTTCCAAGGTAAACATCAATGCTTCTTCCTCAGAAAAAGAAAAAAGTAGAAATAACTCCTCCAAATCCATTCACTTTGTCAAATAGCTTTGTATAAGCTACATTATAAATATCCCAAGTCCTGACTCCCCTTTGTCATCCAGCATAAAACCTCCCCACTCAGATTTACACTGCTGAGACAACCGTCCTATAAAACCAAGAGCAGAAATTGGTGTCTTTAACAAGAGTTGGGGACATGGTCCATAGCGTCTCCTGCAAATCAAAAATCAAGCGTGTAAACAGGCTGAGAAGAGACAGTCTCTCCTGGCACTGAAGTATATAGGCCACCTCTAGCTGTGAGATACATGCCCTTGAAATCACACTGGGACTGGCAGGAGGATAAACAAAGATGGACTTCAACCTCCTGAAGATACAGAGGATTCAGAGGAGTTGAAAATCTTTAGCCTAGATTCAGTCCAAATTCAGTGTCCCTGTGAAATGACAGTCTTGTGAGATCTCAGTGCACTGCATGTTTGTCAAACACAGCCTAGGACAGCAAGATCACCCAGCAAGCCTTGTCCCATCCTTCTGCAGTGCAAGAAAGGAGTTCAAGTACTTAAATGCCCAGGCCAGCCAGGAGTTAGCAATGTTTTTTGCAACAGCTTTTGAACCCTGACTGAAGTGTGAGAAGGACAAGAAGTGACTTGTGCTGGTACAGGCATGCATGGCACTATTACCAGACCAGTGAACCCCTGAACTGAATGCACTCCCCTAAAAAGGGCTGCATTTGGAGAGGAACAAACTAGAGCTTCAGCTGGAGGCTGAGGTCTGTGGGTTGCAACTGAAGGAGATTCCTCTGCCTCTGCCAGCCTTGCTCCTTGGCTTACATCCGGCAAGGGCAGACAGCCCTCAAATTGTCTGCCATGGATGTGCAGCATCATGAGGTGGGTGGTACCAGCTTATTTGGTAGTCAGCCACAGAAATGGCCACAGAGCTGCTGAGCAGAGAGAGCACTTGTTTCCTACTGAAGCAGGACTGGGCTCAGCTAAATCCAGTCTCCTCCCTGGGCTCAGATACTCCAGACCCCTTCTTGCCATCTGCCCCAGCAGCTGACCCAGCCAAAGGCAAACACTTAGCACCGAGGACACTCAGTAATCTTTTCAACAGCCCATTCCCCACTCTGCCACAGCCCGACCTGCTCCATGCCTCCGCCAAATCCAGCCACACATCTGGCCCCTTTGTGCCACTGACAAGGTCACACACTGAACAGCCTGGAAGTCCCAATGCTGCAGGGGTGCTGGAGTCCACAGGAAAGGCACAATGGTGCAACTCCTCTCCTGACATAAAGCAGAGCAAAGGCCACCCAGCACCCATCACAGATGGGTGGCTTCTGGGCTTCTGGCTTCTGAGGATGGGATAAGCAGCTCTGCCATCCTCCCATCAGCTCGCCAGCATTGTTCTCAATACTATAAGCCAATAAAGGACAAATTTGCAAGTAATGCCATTAGCCCAGAGCTCCAGGACTAAATTCATGTGGAGGGGAAGGAGCTTGGCTATGTGCATGGGGTTGCAGTTTCACCCCTGCAGCTTTCCCCAGACCTCACCTCCCCTTCTGTGGCCTGTGGCTAACTCGGAGGGAGTGCTGGGAGCACAGCCTGGTGCTGCATGAGAAGGCTTTACTGCAGGCCCCTCACACCAGCCCGTGTGCACCCGTGCCAGCCAAATCATTCTGCATCATTTCTCTCTCTTGAGGAGGTAATGGACTGGCTCCTCACCATCTGCCTGGCACACTGCAAGGCCTCTGGTAGCAACAGGTCCTTCCAAGGTAGCAATTAGAGACAAAGGGAAGAGAAGAAGGAACTGTTTTCTACAACCAGAAGCCATGTACAACCAACACCATGGCTTTGCAGAGAAAGAGAGGCTTCACAGTGTAGCATTAAATACATTGTCAGAGGGGATGGGGTTCAGAGAACAGATGAGTTACACCTGAGTGCAAACCTCAAACCCTGCTCCCCTTGGCTGGGAACAGAGAGGCTGAAACACTGGCAGGGACAGTGCCTGATGCTGCTCAGCTGGCAGCGGCTGCTGGGAAGTTCACTGTGGTGATAATGAAGAGCCTGGAGTCTGTCAGCTGTGCCAGGAGGTAGGAGGCTCTCCCCCTGCATCTGGCACTAAGTGAGTGACACACACAGCAGCAGTCCTGACTCTGTTCAGAAGGTGGCACTGGGGTGTGATTACCCTCTGGCAAGGAGGTAAATGGGTCAAAGCCGAACATTGGGGAAAACAGCCAGCTTGCAGAATATTTTAATATTTTCCAGTTTAAAAAAAAAAAAAAGAAAAAGGTAAGTAATAAATGTTGTATTTTGTCTCTGGCAACCCTGAGAACTGCAATTTAGTGTCCCACATCTACCTTGAGCCACTAATAACAAGAGTAATTATTTTTCTTCTTTGAATTCCATTTTGCTACAAATCTTAGTGTATGAGATGGAAGATCTTAGCATGAGACAGAAGATAAAGCCTGTTACCCCCATGAGTGCTCAGACAGAAAGGCCCAACAGCTCTTCAGAGGTAGAATGTGCTGATGAATTTCAGCTGTAGGAGCTGGGCTTGATGTGTCCCTGCACCGGCAGCCTTAGGAGCTCACCTCAATCACAGCGCAGTGTCTTTCAGATTTCATAACAGCCTTTAGAAAATCACCCCTTTTCCTAAGCCCTCTCCACCCTCATTATGGCCATCAGACCAGGGATTTGGCAGGTGACCCTATCATCCCTGGGTCACCACTAGAGCTGCAAAGAGAGGTCTCAGCAGCTCTGGAGTCCCTTTACTGCCACATCTGAAACCCACAAAGCTCTTTGAATGCCTGGCAGCAGACGCAGCCTCCTCTCTCCAAATCTCCAGCTCAAATGTTCAATATCTACCAAGATCACAGTGTCAAGCAATCCCACCTTGTGGGGAGAGACCTAAAGCTGAGCCCTTCTTCCCTCAGTTGATAATGACTCGAGCTCCTGGTAGCCACTGAGCTGCACTGAAGTGCACCTATAACAACTCAGCTCACCCAGGCTGTCAGTCAGGGACATGACCTTTAGGCAGGTAGAAAGCTCTACAGATGCTCTGCCAGTGCTGAACAGGGCAGAACTAAGGACTTGGTGGTACCAGAAAGCTTTAAAGGCTCCATACAGGATAACAGGATCAGCTTTGTGAGCTCCAGACTCAAATGGCTTCAGAGCATGCCCAAACAGCTTTCTGTGATGGTCTGCCACCCGCACTGAAATAGTGCTCCAACCCTCCAAACCATTCTGGAGAAGCTGTCTGGAGATGTCTCTCTGTCCTCTGCTACCACCCCCCTGGGACAAGCGCTTTGGCACATCACCCATGCCTGCAGGTGCAAAACACTACTCTTTCTCAGACCAATTTCCCCAAGTTTCCCCATTTTGCCCAAACTGAAAAGCTCTACAATCCAGATACCTCAGAAAGAGCTTCTTAGGAGCTCACTTCTGACATTTATGATGACTTTAGTCAGGGTCCAAGCTGGGACTGGTGCCTTCGAGTCATGTCACTCCCTGTCTCACACTGTTCCATAACCTGCAAGTTGTACTTTAGACAAATCTGTTTCCCTGTTTGCTTCAGTGCTTCTGCTTAAAGGCTTGTAAGTGAAAACCTGCTAATGCAACACAGATAAATAATGTTGTCACTATTTAAGGCCCAATCTGTATTTCCTTTTCTTTGGCACTTGCAGTCTACAAAGGCTCCCAATCACCAGCATGAGCATATCCAAGGCAGATACTGCTTGCAGAAGATGTCTATGTTTTACTGCAGCAGCTTGCAAAGAAGTCTCGTTTGCTGGAAAAGCCTTCCTGCACTCCCCTGAGAGCTCCTCCATGCCTGCCTCAGGCAGTTCAGTTTATTTTTATTGCTGTATCTGACACGTCCCCTTAATACGCATCATTAACATCCAGAGCTGTGCTAGTCAGCAATTTAATTCTCAGACCCAGGGTCACAAGCAAGAGGAGGTTTTTCCTAGAAGGTTGGAGAGGATCATTTGTAGCACTGCTTAGGTGTGGCTCTCCCCTTCCTGCTGTCCCAAGATCCCGGCCATCCTCCTCAAGTATGTTCTGGAGGATGGATACTTCTTTATAAATTCACCAAGCAAAATTAAGCCACTGTTGTGGCATAGCTTCCCTGCTGTACACTTACGGATGCTGTGGCTTATTCAGATACTAGAAAAGCAGCAAGGAAGAGGGGGAGTGGGGCCAAGTAATGAAAATGGGCAATGGTGAAAACCTCCCTCCTCCATGTGCCAGGGCATCTGGTAAGACTCAGGCTACAGCACCGGTATCCTGGAAAATTCCCATTATAATGCACAGGCCCCAAAGTCTCTCTTGCAGTGACTGCACCCACTGCTTGCAGCCTTCAGCTGAAGCTCAGCAGGGACCAGCAAAGCTCATGCTTAACACAACTGATTCAGCAGGCTGGGACAATCAGGAGACATCAGTAAAGTTGCCTCAAGCTTTTTAGCTCAGGATCTCAGGCTGAAGTTCAAATACCCTGTGAGCTCAGCCATTCTTGCAGATGTGTCCTGATGAAGAGGCCATATAAGAGCACTCATCAGCTCCTAAAAGATCATCACCATGGACAAAATGGAGACAGAGGAGAACACAGACCATTTCCCAACCCCAGCACCGGATAACTGGGGATCTTTGGAGCTGAAACAGCCCGCAATGCAGGAAGAGTCAGAGATAACAGTATGTCAGAACTGAACTCCTCAAAACTGCAGACAGTTGTTGGGAAGGTTGGTTCAAACAGATTTTCTCTCTGCTAACATCAGAGTGGATGTGGCTCAAGAGTGACTACAAAGGAGCTGTATAGATTAAATACACATCAGAGGCCCATTGAGGCAGATACCTACTCCACTGTGTATCAGCACCAGGGTGCAGGAAGTACTATCACGTGCTTCTAAACCCCTGTGTCTTCAGGGTCTTTTTAAAATCATAGGCTTTAAACAAGTATTGCCATGGAGGGAGGCATTTAAACCCTCCAAGCCCGTGATTCCTGTCTTGGTGACTGGCAAACCGGAGAGCAGGAAGATGGATGGATGGATGGATGGATGGATGGATGGATGGATGGATGGATGGATGCATGGATGGATGGACGGACAAAGCTCTGGATTTCCTGGTTGCTCACAGCTGATGGAGTATTTTTTCTCATTTGTTGCCCGACTGCTGCTTGGCAGGACACCTGCTATGTTCTCCAACAACTTTAATTTCCCAGTCTGAACAGGTTAGCAGTGTTGCTGCTTTAAGACCCTTGCTCTTAAATGCCTGCAATCCAGGGAGTGGGGTGGGTTAATTTATAGAGATTAATTCTGCCAAAATAGCAGACTAAAGGTCTCTCTCTGGTATGAAACATCATAATAGCCCGGAGGCTGGAAGGAGCCTGTGTTAATTATGCATGAACTCGGCTGTAACTTCTCTACCCACACCATGAGTCTCCAGACACATCTGGCCCATGCTGTGCTTCTGAGCACTCCAAAAAATGTGCAGCAGATGTCAAAGTGGGCAGAGAAACATGCAGGTCCCAGGGAACATGTGGGTATTGGATGTGCTGCTCTGCTCAGACCAATTGGACATGCTTCAGGGAGTCCAGGGTCTGCCAGCTGCCTGGATTTGGCTTCCCAGCAGTCTATCAGATGAGAGGATGCAGGAGAGAGGTAGGCCATGTTACTGGTTAGAATCTAGCCAAGCTCAGAGCATCACCCAAACAGATTATAATTGACAAAGACATGAGGCCTGTGTGGTCCTTGCCTGTACTATGGTTGGTCTAGAAAAAAACAGATGACCTTGACTTCCTACAGCATTTGGCCTCCAAAAATTGTGCTTGAGAAATTCAGAGATTTCTTGTAAGAATAAAGCTGGGCCCAAGTTCCAGCAGATCCTGAGAAGAAAGGTCAGGGACTTTGAGATATATCTGTATGTCCAGCTGGACTGTGTTATCCACAAGTGGGGTGCAGGCCAAGCAGAAAGGATGCTCCTCCCACCTGCACATGCTGTGACTTGTTATGGGATACAGTGCTGGGGCATGGTAACTCCTGTATCCTCTCTGCCTCCTCTTCCCAGCATGTTACCAGATGGTGAGAGCCACTGAGAAATGAGGCATTCATAGTGATGGGTTACAAGGGACCCAAGCCCTTAGTCCTGGTAGGAAGTCCTGGCCTGGTCCATCAGCCACTTCCCGCAAGATTTTGCAAATTAATGCCTATGTAGCATCTGCTTCCCAGCAGTGCCTTTGTGCTGGCACCAGACAGGGCACCCAGGCACGCAGCTGTAACTCTACACACTGCATTTATTCCAGGCCAAACGTCTTTTCACTCCAGTTGCTTCTTCCCATCCTCCAAATTTCCCAGTGCTTCTGTGAGAAGTGCTGTGAAGTCTAAGCCAGAAATGTGAAGGTTCCAAGCCCTGGATCTACACAGTCCTCTGGGACTTTTGCTCCTGGAGCCAAGCTCTCTAACTCAGCTGTTTCTGCCACTCAGCTTTTGTGTTCATGGCAAAGACCAGCAGATCAGGCCACTTTCTGACAGGGGAACCCAGAGACAGAGAAGCTTTGCACAGGCTCTGAAATATGTGTGTGTGAGGTGTGAGCCTGTCCATGTGCACCTCCCAACAAATTTTAGCTGAGTGAGGAACAGGAAGTCATTGACCCATTGCCCTGAGCCACATGAAAGTACAGAGCATTTGGAAGTCATTCATTAACGGCGGTTCTGGAGACACAAACGCTCACAAATTTGTACTCGCAAACCTTCAGTGCTGCTCAGCATTGCATCCCCAATCTGAGACACAGGAAGCATTAGGGCACTTGTGGAGCAGCTTTCCAGAAATAAACAAAAGCTGCTTTGTCCACATCTCCCCTCCTGTGTTTCAATCTGCTCTGAGTTACTAGAGCCAAGAAATTAAATATTCTGGGTCTGAGGCTTGGGATGAAACTACTGATGTGTCCAGCCCATGGCTCATGGAAAACTGAATCAGAAGCTGTAGGGACTCTCAGAGAGCAGGCAGGTATTTTCTTCCCCTCAGCAAAATTCTCCCATGATGTCCCCCTAATTTCACTACTTCATTTAAGTTTGGAGTCCTAATGGGTTGTCCCTTTCTCCTCAATGTGGTAAGCGACTTCAGGCCTAGAAAAAACCACAGAGAGATCGCAGTCTGAAGAAGAGAGCAGGAGTTTGCATTCCCCTACTCCCCTGTACAACTGGGCACCATCACCAGCGCTGTCCTTGCCCCCTGGCAAGAGAGCGACCTGCGGAGGCGCAGGCACTGGACAGCCCAAAATCCCTACAGACATGACCCTGGTCTCTAAACCACTGTAATGCCTCTCCAGTCCAGATGATGCTGATTAAGCAGCAGTACCTGGATGTAATGTGCATCCTTATGGCTGGGGCACTAATGGTGCTCAGCAAAGGCATGCAGCAATTAATGCATCTTCAGGCATTGCCCCCGCAATAAATCAATAGCTATTAAGGATAATTTATCCCATTTTTAAGTCACACAGGTTTCCCCATTCTGAATCCTGATTTTGAATCACCAGTCTGTACTGCAACTTATTCAACTACAGTGCTTTACAGATAAGAAAGGATGTGGGTCCTTGGATGACTTTTACAGACACTCACATCAAGATGTGCTTTACCTGTTGTGTGCACATCTGCAAAAGTCCATCAAGAATCAGGCTTGAAGAGACCAGAGTATCAGAGACAACACCTCTTGTGCCATGCCATGATTGTGGGAGAGCAGTAAAGTGAAAAAGGTGAGATCGGAGAGGAGAGCTCTAAGAACCCTCCATCTGCCTCCTCCATCCCTCACGCCAACACAGCAGAGTCTCAGCAGGAGGAGATCAGGATTAATGGCACAACTATAAACACTCAGTCACAGATTGTGTGCTCTATTGCAGTAAATCCCACAGTGGCCCTGTCCTTGCATGGCCCTGGAGACAGGCACACCTGTGGTCTCCAGTGGATGAACACATTTGAATGGCTGTGAGGTGTTAGTGGAATTTTCAACAGGAGGCAAGTGAATATAGGAATTGCCAAGGACAGAAAGAGCAGACTCGCAAGGGATGCTCACAGAACCACTGAGCAGAACATGGGGCCTCTTTGGATTAAGTCCCTAGCAATCCTTTCTAAGTGTCTCAGACATACGAATCCCTGTGCACAGGGAAGGAAAACCCACACAGGTAAAATCCACTTGCTCCCAGAAACAAAAATTGAAACAAGAATAGATAGACTTTGAAATGTCTCTAGTACCTTTACCTGCAGAGGGTTCTTTGTGCTTATGGCAATGACGTGATACTTGTAGTAACACAGCTCACAGCTCCAGCAGCCTCTCTCGCTAATCCATTTGATCAGACATGGCTGGTGCGTGCACTTCACAGATCCATCACATCGACACGGGCTCAGCAACTCCCCCTGAAAGAGACAGACACCATCAGTGAGGATTCCCTCCTTCCACAGGCACGGCACAGCACAGCACACGTGGCACAGCGTGGCAGAAGCTCCCACATCCACCATTTGAACTTCCTTTTTACATAGTTTGGCTCAGGCAATTGTGCTGCTTCCATTCCTTTTCCCTCTGATAATGCTTGGCTGATGTGAACCAAGACTCAGGGATGTAATGGTCTCAGCTACTGGGGTCTTACTTGCCTTGTCACCACTGAAGGAAAACCTAGATAAGCACAACTTTTACAAGACTCCAGAGGACCCACACTGACCCCAAACAGTGGACACACCTCTGTTGGCAACCACATGCCACTAGTTCATTGCTCAGGTTTTTGTCTCTCTGCTGCCTGTTTTACAAAGTGAGGTTGGAGGTGGTAATAAATTGTGAGACAGTCTCTGCCGCAGACTGATGTCCTGCTCAGACCAGGGTAGCTTCCTTGAGCCCAGGCAGGCAAAAGGTCCTCAGATTTATCTCCACACCATCCACTTTCCCCAGACAGTCATACTGGTGAACTACAGGGCTGGCTATTTGCACCCTAGAAGCAAGCAAGAGGAGAACAAATTGTGTCCTGGCTTGTGACCCAGATGGTTATGAGTGGTGGCAGAAACACTGAACCTCCTGGCTCGGTCCCTTGTTTCTGGTGTAGCTTTTAACAGGGTATCCACGAAGACACCGTATTATTCAGATCCATCTTCTGTCATCCTGTTCACCATGGGACTAAATTCCTCTCTGCACACAAGCTCAGGAGCTCTTTACAGTTGTTTGCCATTGCTTATTCAGGTTAGGAGAGAGACATTACATTTTACTCTTCACTGTTTACTGTTTAAAAGCCATAGTAAAGATTCCAATAGTGTATTTAGCTGTGCTCCAAGATTAAAAAGGTTTTAAAGGCAGAATATCTATGGGACAGAGAAGGTTGAATCATACTTTCGGCACTGCGGAGAAGATATTTGCTTACAGCCCAGATCAGCCTCATCACTAGCCTGATGGAGCACCAGGATAATGGACCCTGGCACTGGACACTGCTGGATATGGTAAAAGACATCCATTCCAACTGCCTCGGGTTATGCACCAGATCCTGTTCTTGCTAACCCTGGTGGGAAACTGTCTCAGCTTCTAGGTCACTACATCAGGTCTCAGGACCTGAGGAACTGAGGACCCCACTGGGCAAGAGTGATACTTCTGTTTTACAAAACCTAATGCGAACACGTTAATAGTTTCATTTGTTTCAGCTAGGTGACCTAAAAATGTCATCTTTCATGAAATTTTACAAAAACTGTAAATAATTGTTTATGTTACAAACACAGCCTTGGCTCTGTTTTTCAGAGTTTTTCAGAGTTCAGAGTTTTCTGTGTTACTGGTTTTCATTACATATCGTAGGGGATACAAAGGGAGAGGGGGAACAAGGAGGGTTGTAGGCTCCATGAACCTTTTCCACCTGCAAAGGGGTGACATGACAAGCCAGAAGAAGGGAAGCAGGGAAGGATTAGATGGGAGAAAGGTGCACGTGGGAATGAGCACTGACATTTAGCAAACTCCCCATGTGAGGTCCAATTTGATGGGCTTAGGTTTGGCTGTGCATGTTTGTGCCTTGGCTGAGACTGGGGTTAGACATCGCCAGTGTGATAAGGAGCCCAGAAGAGCAGGTACTGCCCGACAGGATGCAAAAGGGGAGGGACCAGAATTTGGCACAACTCCTCTGTTTCTCCGGCTCACCAAACCTCTTCCACACCAAGAGCCAGCCTAGTACATGGACCACTGCTGTGTGCCTCTGGTCTGCCCTTTTCATCTCAGCCTTATTTTCTCAACAGCTTCACTCCTCAGCACACAAGTGCGGCCCCAGCACTAAGGAGGTCACGCAGAAACCTCCCAGATCTGCAGCATCCCTGCCTTTCCACTTCACTGCTCACCAGGGTCTCTCTTGCAGGGCTCAAAATGGTGAGTACAGGACGTGGGCTTTGTCTAATGAGCAGCTGGAGGCATTGATGATGAGGGATCAGAAATGGAGCAGAATGGAGCAGGAACTAAGAGCAACAACCTCCAGGCAAAGGCAGAGGGGAAAAGCTGTAGCTACAGCCTGGACTTGCACTGGCTTCTGGGGCTCTGTAACAAATGAGTCTATGAAATCTGAGCTTCTCTCTTCAGAGCCAAGAGATGTTCACAGATGTCCTACAGCACCATGGGGACCCAGTCTCCCTCCCTAACTGGGATGCTCAAACACACAGTCTTGCCAGCTCTTACAACCTCAGGATTCAACTGTGGAGATGAGTCCCCCAGTAACTTGATTTTAGCAAATGTAGCAAAAACTCAATTTATCACATTTTCTCCAACCGTCTGAAATATTACATCCTTGTATGTGGCACACAGCTATTTTTGCATACTGTGAAGCCCAATTCTGTCCCCAGCAGGCATTTGTAAAAACACTGCCACATGCACACACGCTCACATGCAGTCCTCTACCAGCAGAAAAATAAACACCAGGGGCATATTAAAGGAATACATCCTTTGTACAGCAAAGGAGAAGGAGTCTCATTGCTGGCTGTACAGAGAGCTCAGGAACAGACCATTGGCTGTGATACACAAGAAGGTTCTGCTGTACAGAGTCCTCTTCTGCCAAAAGCTACAGGAACACAAAAGCAAACCCAAAGTGAGACACAAATCACAACTATTAGAGATAGAAATGAAATCCCTAACACACATTTTTGCAGGTTTGTAGAAGATGGGTCTGCACAACATATTCTCCAGTGCTCAAACAGCAGTATTCCCACCAATTCCCTTTGGGGACTGCTCTCCAAAACCCTTTGAAGGGTCTATTTCCCTACTTCACAACATTTATTTTTGCAATTTCCCATGGTAGAGTTATATCCCATCACTGAGATGAGTCTAAGCAGCATTTTTCCTTTGTCAGTAATTCATGGAGAAATGCTCCCCAACAGCAAGCTTCCTCCTCAGCTTGCTCACTACCACTACACTAGTTCTTGTTCTTCTGAAACACTCAAGTGTGCTTTGGAGTCAGGGCTGCCTTTAATTTTTTCTGTTATCCAAGTCTAAATTAGCAAAAAAACAGAGTTAAAAAAAAGGAAAGGGTGCTCTGTCTCAGCCACAACCATTTCAATATACGCATGAAATACTCTTCCTTATTTCTGGAAAGAGTAAAATCCTAAGCAATTATATATAACATTCTTCCCTGTCTATCACTGTGGTGGGAGCTTGTCTTGAGGAGCAGCAGGGGCAAGGCCAAGCTGAACTGGCTTTACCCTGAGGAAGACAATACTGTAGGAGATGAACCAGTAGTGCAGGTCTGCTCCAGCTCTGTCCTTCTGCTCTGGACTCCCAATCTGTACCCGCTGCAGTATGTCAAAGTGGTTAATGATTATCTGGCCCCTGCTATTTAAAGCCTACTGGGAGGAGTGCTGAGAAAGGATGGAAAAAAAGAAGATTATTGCCGGCGTGCTTGTGGTGCTCAGTATATCCAGGGAGAAAATAACCACGTCAGGAGCAGTGTCACCCCTGTTGAGTGCTGGTGGCAGTGTTTCGCCTGGCTTTTATCTGTCATTTATCAGTGCTGGGAGCCCATTTGCACACTGCTACCACAGCTGCAGCTGCTCACCCACCAGCAGGCAGACATGGGATGTGTTCCCCAGACCTGTTCTTTTAACTGCAAATTAAGTACAGCTAATTTGCCCACCCAGTCTCCTTTAAAGAGGGCAGGGCTGCGAATGACTGTGTTGCAGGGCCAGGATGTGGTTCGTCTTCTGGGTTGGCCCAGCTGTGCTGACCTATGTCTGGTGCCTGGGCTGCTCCTGAGCACCAGTTCACCTAGGAAGAGCCATGTTACCAACATCCTGTTATCAAAACCATTAAAGCAAACATTTTGAAAGCCAGTGCAAACTGTACAGAAAACCAAGATAGCTGATGGTGATCTTAAGACCTGCAGTTTTTATTTCACCTGTGCATTCCCTGCTCAGGTATGCAAAGTAGCACAAGCATCAGTCACAGGAGCAGTGCCCTGAGTAAGAGCAGGTGAATGAGAAGGTGCTGAAGGAGTTGTCCTATCACAAGGGCTGCCATCTCTCTCTGGGGGTGTACATGCAGCTGCTGCTGCTCACAGATCTGCATGCATGCATCTGAAACTGCTGGCATTTATCTGAGTTTGTCTTGTTTGCAGGAGGAAGCCAGGGTCATTTAATTTCAGGTCTTCAGCTGCGTCTCCTAAATATACTTAAATCTCCATATTGAATTTAAATGCAATGGGAAGTTTTACTACAGCAAATAAATGCCAAATGATTTCTATATTAGGAACATAATTACAGATAAATTAAGTCAAATGGCAAAGAGAATCCCATTGTTACAGAGCTGGTAAACTTCAATAAACATGTACTAATGACCACTCTGTCTTCACACACTTTTAAGAGTTGCCCTTCTATCCTTTTGAACTAAACACATGTGACTACCAGCATCTCAAATGCTTCCCTATGCATGCAAGCACTGTGCCAGCCAGCAGCAGGCAACAAGGGACATGGAATAGGTATGTGTATGTGTGTATATATATGTATCACACTGCATGAAATTCTCCAGCACTGGGGGAAATTGGCACAGAGTGCGGACCCAGACAGGAGTGGACCTAGGTCTCCTGTGATGTCAGGACAGTACAGGACATGGTTATGAATGGGGCTCTGGTGAGATGCCATTTTGCCAGGCACCCCAGCAGAACTGGGTACTGATCCCAATCTCCATCTTGGTAGAAATCTGCCGAGAGACTTTTCTTGACCCAGCTGAGGGAATACCCCAACTGGGAACCTCCCTAAAATCTGGAGAGCCTATAGGAAAATCTATGCAAGTGATAAGAAAAAGAAATCCAGACTGCCATGTCTGTCATCAGAACTGGCTCATCCTACAGCTCCCCCACAAGACCTGGTATCCCCGTGGCATGCAGAAACAGCACTGCCCATGGCAGGCAAGATCTGTG